ATGTCCTCCCATTCCAATTCCTGATAATCCATTCTAGGAATATCAGGAGGGGTCTATAAAGATTTCAAAACTATTCCACAACTGAAATTCTCCTGTAGCATTTCTCCATTTGTGATTCATTAATGTTTATTTTTCAAACATTTGCCTGTAATGTTGCAATATATTTATGAATGGTAGAGAAAGAAAGTTACTGTACGTAAGTGATCCAAGTGTATTGAAAGCTTTTCTATGAAGCATTTCTTGTCAAGTATTCCAATGGTATATGCCACTTCCTAAAACCATTGTATAACTCAGTAAAATGTACATTTTAATAAAGAATATCGATCCTGAATTTAAGGTACATTCTGTTTTGTTCATATACATAATCATGTTTCTTATAAATWTGTTCAAATCATGTGTATGTTTAGGCTAGTCCAAAAATCCAAATTTAAATTTAGGGTTGTTCTAGTATAAATTAATCTTTCTATGTACATGCTTTCATTGGTTGAAAACTGTGCTTTATTAAGTGAATARAGCAAAATAGCTGTTAGTACAGTTGAGCCCASGAGATATTCTTTYGTTTTAAGAATCATACAAGTGAGGCTGTCGGGCCAACACAATGCTTGTTAATTGTCTAACTTGCATTTGATTTGCATGCATCCATAATACAATCTGCTATCAAGACAATCTTTATCACTCACACAAAGCCAAATACACAAAAGACCATTTTGTGTCTGTGTAATGAATGTTCTGGTTGAGTGCTACCAACTATTAGTCACTAAATTAAGCTACTATTTGTCAGTATCAACTTTGTTTTTTCATGGTATTACACATACGTTCTAATTATTTAGCATCATAAACAAATTATGATTATTCATTGAATATTTATAACAAATTAATAATGGTAATTGAACTGAGTGGAGTGCAATTTGGYCWGAAAAAAAAACRTGCGATTACRAAATCACACGACYGYGTAGCGGGAGTGTGATTTGTAATTGYAAGTTTGATTTCARACCAAAATTGCACGACACGAAGTTCAATTACCACTTAATCATATCCTTTTTGTAATCATACACAAGAAAAAGGCACAATAAAGGTATATAAGTAATAAATTTAAGTAATAAAYTCATTGAATATTTATAACAAATTAACATATTTACGGMTGTATGCTATCTAATTTACAATAACCATAAAGACTAACCTAGGTAAAAATAGCTAAATAGCTACTTTCATGTGCTCTAAAGAATGCACAACTTCAAAACAAAACCTCTGAAATTCCACGTACCTTCACTGAAACACATGAATATTCTGCACAGTTGAGGCTTATTATAAACCCTGAGCAACAGAGAACTAATTGAAACTAGACTATTCCAGAGGGGTAGGAGGACCTTTTTAAAATTTCCTCAATGGTGGGGTATGGATATTTTCCCTGAACCACACGTTCCTTAACCACAACAGCAAAAAGAATATGAAAAGGGTTTTCTTTTGTGCGTGCAGTCAACATACTGACCAAGCTATGTGAAAGAAATAAAGTTAAAAATTGAATTGAAACTGGCATTTGGACAGGAATTTTAAAAATTGAGTTTCAAAAGAATTTACCACCTTCAGTCACTTTTTTTTTCATAACTTTTATTCATTACCATAATGAACATCCTTCATGTATATAGKTCTATTAACCATACAACCTACAAAAAGTAATATCATAACCTTTAAAATACATGTAGATAAATGCATATTTTTTTCCCAAGAAGGTAAAATAGTAACCTGGAATAATTTTAATCTCATTGGCTACCTTTCACTTGCCTTTCATTCATATTTATCTCTATATCCTTGTGCTACAAATTTCCTTTACTTTCTTTGGCTATCCTCGTATATTTTTTTGTTTCCCATAGCCCGAACAACCCTATTTTTCAGAAATCAGGAATAGAATAAAATAAAAACTGAAAAGAGGATAGTGTGATGGGAAATGAAAAAATATATGAGGATGGCCTTATATTATTTGATAAACAATGTTGTAGTATATTTTGGGTCCTTCTGCGTGTACTACAAACCTATTGTATTCTTCATTAGCTTTTTTTAATATTGTATATTTATAGTTTTAAATCAATCCATCAGTGTTTATTGTTAAATGGTACCCTTGCCTTAACATTATTAGCACTATTCTATCTGTATACTGGTCATTTGTACATGTATATAGGCTGACCTTGATCTAGTATTGTACAGGCTTTGATTCTAGCCAGTGTTGATTGTCTAATGGTACCCTTGTCTTAACATTATTAACACTATTCTATCTGTATACTG